TCTCAACCTTTCTTAAACAGCCTTTCTTTCGAAGAGCGGAAGTGGTTTATATGACAATGCAGGTTGCGTTTGGGTCAGGATTTCAGTTTGGCTCTAGAGCCTACACTTGACCCAGTCTCCTGGTTGTTCCTGTGTACTGTGCTTCGATTTACATCATGGTGTGGTTTTGGAGTACACAAACTGGTTTACTTTTTTGTGAAAGTAAATTGAAAGATACGATCTCAATGCTGATGAGCATTCAGTCCACTGGGCTAGAGCAGAGCTAGTCTGAAACATTAGAAATAATGTCTCCTTCCCTCCTCCCAAATGTGTGTGCTGCCAACATCAGGTCCTCGGTACTGAATTTTGGTGAGTAGATGGTGATGAGTAGATGGAGACCACAGTGATTCAGGTTGTCCCCTTGCAGCCCATGGGAAGGCCACAGTGGAGCAGGTATCCACACTGCAGCCCGTGGAGGACCCCATGCTGGAGCAGGTGGATATGCCCTGAGGGAAGCTGCAGACCATGGAGAGCCCACGCTTGAGCAGTGTTTCCCTGAAGGACTGCAGCCCATGGAGAGGACCCATGCTGGAGCAGGGGAAAAGTGTGAGGAGATGTTATGGACTGACTATAAATGCCCCATTTCCCATCTTTACCAAAATTTCTTCACTGAAAGGGTTGTCAGGTGTTGGAACAGGCTGCTCAGGGAAGTGGTTGAGTCACCATCCCTGCAGGTATTTGAGAGAGGTGTAGACGTGGCGCTTAGGGACATGGTTTAGTGGTGGACTTGGTAGTGTTAGATTAATGGTTGGACTCGATGATCTTAAGGATCTTTTCCAAAAGAAATGATTCTATGATTCTGTGTCCCCTGGGGAGAAGGAGGGAGATAGAGGAGTTGGGAATGAAGGAGTCAAGTTGAGTCTGGGAAGAAAGGGGAGTGTAGGGAGAAGGTGTTTTAGTTTTTGTCTTTCTCACCATCCTCTTTTTTTTTTGTTGGCAATAAATTTAATTTTCCCCAAGTCAAGTCTGCTTTGCTTGTGATGGTAGTTGGTAAGTGATCTCACTTTAATCTCAACCTACAGCCTTTTTCATTTTATTTTCACTCCCTGTCCTGTTGAGGAGGGGGAGCGAGAGAACAGCTGGGTGGCAGCCAGCCAAGGTCAACCCACCACACTCATAATATCTAGTGCAACTTAAAAAAAAAAAAAAAAAAATTCAACCTTCTTTAAAATATGCTATTGATTTAAATAGTTCATTTTGTTTGTATTATGAACGTGAATAAGAGTTTAACTACTACATTTTGTGATCCAATAGTAGTACCTTGTTTTAGCAGATGAAGTTAAAACTCTTAGTCCACTGTCACCAGAGGCATACAAATCTACTTCTCCCTCCAGATCTCTAGTGCAGTGGTTAAACATTCTATAACAGGATTACTTGCCTGCTCCTGTCCTGCAATGCTTTGTTTGTCGTGCCAGCAGTGTTGTGCAGCACTGCAAAGAACAGGATTGGGAAACCAATCCAGCTGAATATTTTTCCTCCTGGCTGTAGCTGGGTATGTTTCTTGATCCAGTTTACAGCTCAACTCTGCAAAGACCTTTTGCTGGCATAACGGAAAGAATGGAGCAGCATGGTCAGGTGAGACATGCGCTGAAGTGGGTGTTGCTGCTGGAATCATATGTCAGGGAGTGGATGAAGAAAGGCTGTATCTATCAGGATGGTGTTTAGGGATCTGTAAGGTAGAGATGTGACTCTCTCGATCAGAGACTTCAAATACAGCCATGCACTCTTCTCTTTTAAGTCCCAGGCACTATAGTCAGTAAAATAATTTTTGAGTCAAACATCTTTGTATTTTTTTTTTTTTTCTTGATCTTCCCTAAGGAAGTTTTTCTGAGTTTTTCCACAAGAGCTTTTGCCTCACTGGCTAGAAATGTTTAGTTTTTATTTAAGTTTACTGTGAGATGACCTAGTTCTGTATTACATGACTCATGATTATACCTCTCTTTTGCCCTCTTTGCTGCTGCTTGGACAAATTGAAGAGTGCTGCAGCACCCAATTCCTCGGTCCTTTTACATGCAGAATAAATGTGATCCTTGGCAAGCTGTCTCCCCTGAAGTTCAGCAACCATTAAAAAAAATTCCAAAGATGTGTAACTTCTCTGTTTCTATGTGAAATACCCATTTACCAATCAATTTAAAAAACCCCCACAAGTATCACCCCTCAATCCCATGCGCCATAACTAGTTAGACGTTTTAAGCAAGGCAACAAAACAGTAACAGGTTATCTGAGCCCTTTTAATGCACCTACTCTTGAAGACTACCAAAAAAGTAGTAAAATGGTTCAATACAGTTCATAGCAGTGAGGCAGCCACTGCGAGATCATAGCTGGTACAATCTTTTTGAGTGTTACAGGTAATCAACAGATACCAGACATCGAAGTCTCAGTGTATACAAGAAGAAAGATAGCTTTCTCCTTGATGTTAACACTCCACATTGGGAACAAGGTCGTTGATAGAGGTGTGTGGGGGGAGAAAATGCATGGGTGACTTCCAAGTTCTTGTTTTGTAGAAAAATGGCATTTTTAGTTGTTGTTACCGTGCAGCAAATACTTTTTAACTGTAGAAAGTTAGTTAGAAAGAACGATTATGTTATACGAGGTGTGTTGTCTGGCAGTTGGAGTTGGTGCATGATGTTATGGGTTATAGGACTTGTCTGTGCCAGACCTTCAAAATTTCAGCACGGACTTTGTGGTCAAGATGTGGATGCTGCCTTAGTCATGAACCAAAAAAAACATTTAGTATAACATCAGCAGTTTCAGGTTTTTTGTTGTCAGTGAAGGCTATTTTTGGCTGTCTTGAAGAGGTGCTCATATCTCTGTGATGCTTTGTGCAGTCTTTGCTCCAAATGCATTGCTTTTCCAGCCTTAACTAAATATTTATTCCAACATTTGTGCATCAGGAAAATTTTTAATCATGAGGCCAGAAATCTTCCTAAGTATGTTTATAATCAAGGTTGGAAGAGGGTGAAGTGAGAAGCCTTCTTCGTTAGGAGAAATGATACACGAGATGATTTTGCTGGCATTCAGAGGGACCTTGACAGGCTGGAGAAATGGGCCAAGAGGAATCTCATGTAATTCAACAAAGGGAGAGGCTGAGTCTTGCACCTGGGGAGGAATAACTGGTACAAACTGGGGACAACTGGCTGGAAAGCGAATTTGCAGGAAAGGACCTGAGGGTCTCAGCGGACAACCAAGTGACCATGAGCCAGCGATGTGCCCTTGCGGCAATGAAGGACAGTGGTATCCTGGGCTGCATTAGGAGGAGCGCTGCCAGCAGGTCGAGGGAGGTGATCCTTCCCCTCCACTCAGCACTGGTGAGGCCACACCTGGAGTGCTGTGTCCAGTTCTGGGCTCCCCAGTGCAAAAGAGACGTGGACGGACCGAGTGTGTCAAGCAAAGGGTTGCAAATGCGTTTTAAGGGATCTTAAGGCATCTGGTATGAGGAGAGGCTGAGGGATCTGGTGGTCTTTAGGCTGGAGAAGAGAAGGCTCAAGGGGGATCTTACCAGTGTATATAGATACCTGATGGGGGTTGTAAAAAGGATGGAGCCAGGCTCTTTTCGCTGGTGTAAAGTGACAGGACAAGAGGCAATGGGCACAAATTGAAATACAGGAATTTCCACTTAAGCGTAAGAAGAAACGTTTTTGCTCTAGGGATGATTGAACACTGGAACAGGCTGTCCAGAGGCTGTGGAGTCTGCATTCTTGGAGGTGCTCAAAACCTGACTGGATATGGTCCTTGGCAACCGGCTCCAGTTTACCCTGCTTTGAGCAGTGGTGGTTGGACTATACAATTTCCAGAGGTTACTTCCAACCTCAGCTATTATGTAATTCTGTGAAATGATCAGACAAGAAGGCATTTCCTTCAGTTTTGCCTTTCCAACTGTTGATTTTTCTTCACTGCAGGTGGCTCAGCTGTTGGACACAAGTGACTAATAGGTTTATTGGCAGTAATTTCCAAAAGCATCCCTTCTGGAGGGGACAAAAATGGTTCTTTTTCCTCACTAATTTCAGAGTGATCTGGTTTTTTGGCTGGTTTTTTTTAAGGGTGAGTGACTGGGGAAATTCTGTGTTACTCCAACCTTTTAGTGCTCATTTTTATCTTGTGCTACAGACTGAATGCCAGTGCTTCTCTCTTCTATTGCTCAATTTTTTCCAAACAGCAGCAGAATTTGATTTTTTTTTTTTTTTTTTAAAATAAACTTGGGGCTGTTCACTGTATTCAGAATGCATGGATGGAAACTGTGACTGATCACTTTCACTCTGCTGTAGGAGTAAGTAGTCTTGAGAACTCAGTTTCTGTGGAAGGCTGGACAGAGCACGTGCTGGTGGGTTACCTCTGGTCTGTCTTTGGCACATTCTTTTCAAAAAAATGGACATATAAAGCAGTAAAACGCTTCAAAAATAGTGACAGATTTTCATGAAGCTAATTTTCATGAAGTCAAGAGAGCTTAATTTTTTCCTATATAAAACGGGATAGAGATAAGCACTTATCTCTTCCACTGTACAAAATGTGTAAGTCAAACCAATGGTTTTCAAACTGTCACATACAGTTGAACACAGTAGTCTTTGTTGCATAAGGTGTGTTGATAGTCTTAATCCAGACTTTCTGGATTTTTTTACATTTCAAATTGCCGGTGTATTTTGATATACGCATTTCTGCCAGTATATTTTGATATACGCATTTCTGACCCTTTAACTTGTAGTTAAAGGATTTCTCATTTTCTTTCTCTGATTTGTATAGATGGAAAAAACCAAACATAGCTTTCTCAGCTTTTTGTGCTGAGAAAAGGTAGAACATTTCAGGAACAGACTGACAACTGGAGATATGAGGCAAAGTCCATTATCTTTTTTCTCTTGGCCATATAGACTGATAGGATATCACTAGCAGCCTTTCTTTATTGTTAACTTTTTAGTATATGGTTCAAATTACAGTGGTGTGCAACAGAAATCTGTGTGGTGATGTAGCAAAGTTATTAGTCTTTCTTTTCTTTTTCTCCCCACAGGTATCAAGCATGATGGGACTATGTGTGATACTTGTCGACAGCAACCTATCATTGGCATCCGATGGAAATGTGCTGAATGCACAAATTATGACTTGTGCACAGTTTGCTATCATGGGGACAAACATCACTTGAGGCATCGTTTTTACAGAATTACCACACCAGGAAGTGAAAGGTAAACCATAATTTTTTCCCCGTGAAATTAAATAGGAACAGTTAATTGTGGTTAACTTTTAAACTGCAGATGTGGCTCGTGAAACTTGGATTAGGTAAGATAGTGGCTTGAGGTGTAGATTCTGTTACTGGTTCTATGCCTCTTTGTGAGGGAGGGTAGCTAGGGCAGATCTTTGGAGCTTGGAAAACATGGAAATTTCAGAAGGAACGGAGTAAAGAAAAAAGTTAGGATATGATTATTCAGTTTCTTTTAACCTCATTGCAGTCTTCCTAGTTGTTGTGTTAACATATAGCAGCTTTGAAACAAAGGCAATTATCTTTACACAATGTGTAATCACAAAATGATTTGTCAATGAATTCCTGAATGTGAAAGTTTAATTAGGTTCAAAAATGGTGTAGACAGATGGAGGGAAAATACCCTTCTTGTAGGCTATGAAAAACAGAATGATCTGGAGACAAAACCTCTGACTTGAACTGCTTAAACTGCTCACTACAGAAAGCAGAGAAAAGATGCTGTGAAGGGTTGTTCTAGCCTTGCCTTGGTTTTCATGTTCTTTTCTTAAGCACCTATTATTGTCCCCCAGCGAAGAACTCTGAACAAAATTGGCAGTTAGTGTGTTCTTGCATAGCTGTTCTTGTGTTCCTGACTTTAAATAACTTGTCTAAATCCAAAGCCCTCTCTGTCATGATTTATCTACTGGTTACGTGAGAACAGTGATATTTGCCTGTTACTAAATACTTGGAGAGCTATGGTAAAGCATTGAGTAAAGGCTACATGCTGTAGTATCACCTCTGTGATAACTCTCCAGAATGTTCTTTCATTAAATCATTGGAAGCTTTTTTTGTTAGATATGGTACTAGTTAAATGCAACGTGTGAGACAACACGTGTTTCTTCTTCTCGGAGAAGTAAGGATTACAAATATGTTGTAATTCAGTGATGTGCTTTTATCAGTGCTTTTACAGTTAAGGGAAGTGGTTGGAGCACAGAAACTGACTTCTTGTATTGTGTCTTGTAGGGACTGTGTTTATTTTCTCAATCGTTTGCCTTGAAGTTTAACTGTGGCTCAAATGCCCAGGTCAGTGGCTTAATCAAAAAGTAACTTCTGTTTTTTTGAGATTCATGCCAGCAGATCTAGGTACCAAATAGATATCATAAGCTTAGTGTCTCAATTATAATGTTCTAATGCAGAACAAGACTTAGAAGTTGAATCCAAGAGTAGAAAGTGCTGGCTTAGTGTAATGAATAGAGAATAGGTAACAAAATGCAAATCTGTTTTTCTATTTATTTCTTTTTTAAAAATCTCATTGCTTTTGAGAATGCTTGCCAGACTTTTTTCTTTTGTTTTGTTGGGTTGTTTTTTTTTTTTTAGCTGAAGAAGCTTCCTTGTAGTTTTAGGTGGTCTGTTCTAGTGTATAAACCATAACTTTTAGCTTTGGAGATAGATTGTATGCAATGTATAGAATTGCAGGAAATCTTTTGCATCTTGTCACTTTCTCCCTATCTTTGTTTAGTCCCCATTGAGCTCTGTTTTGCAACTCTTATCTAGAAGGCAGCTTCATCTGCCAAGGAGCTGTTTCTATTGGATCAAGCTTAGCTGAGAAAAATTGATTAAAGTTAGCTGTTTGAGGAAGGAGAAAAGGGCGTAGCAGTGCCATTGAATTTGAGGGATATCTCATAGGATAAATGGCAAGAGGCATCTGAGGATGTTTGGATGAAGGAAAGCATAAGCTCTACCTATTTTATTCTCGAGTCTGGGATATCATATGGGCAGCATACCAAAGTAATGTATGCTGGTTTTTGTCTCAGTTTTGTAGGTGTTGAGATCTTTCTAAAATGCTGCTATGAGCAACATACCTTTGTGTTTTTCTATCACTCTTTCATATTATTTAGACAAAAATGGCTAATATTTTCATGTGCTCTTTGCATTGATTAGAATCATAGAATCTAACAGTTTAACTTCTTCCTTGTCTGCCATCTGCTGGATGTTAAAAGTTTAGCAGGAGGATGATACACTTCCTGAAGAGATCAGGAAACATTCAGAATTTCAGCTGAAAAATACTTTTGTCTGGCAACATTTTCCTGGCTTGAAGTAAGAAATCTGGTTGCATGCAAACTGGTGGCTTTTGAGATGACTGAAAAGGCAGGAAGATGTTTGTCTCTTTGTTTTTATTCATAAGTTAAATACTCACGAACTGTTCTGTTTGGGCTTATCTACTTCAGTTCTGTTGAAGTCAGAGAGAAAGAAGAGGTTTGCTTTAGAAAAATAACGTATTATGACTGAAAAAATGGATGCTGATATATTGAATTAAATTTGCTAAGATATGCTATAAGACGTATGTAGAAAATAAACTGAGACATGGAGGGGAAGGAGATGTAGCTTTTACTTTATAGCATAATTCTGAGTAAAAATGGCAGGGCAATTTTTGGACAGTAATATTGGCCTAGGGTGCATCTAAGAGGAACAGAAATGTATTGTTTATATGACTCTGTATGTTTCTTTAATGATTTTAATAATATGACCAAAGATCTATATGTAAGTGCTTACAAGATTATTGCTGGTAGTAGGAAGTTTGGAGAAGAAATTATCATTAGAATTAAAAACTAATTATAAACATATAATAAATCAGATTTAGGAAGATCATGGTTTTTTGTCTTGTGGGCTGCTGTTCGAGTTGACAATTAAATGGATGCGATTCATGCACCGAATCATTCATTTTTGTTTCAAGATGCCTTTCTTTCCATCCCCAAAGATTCGTTTTGGACTTTCTTTATTATCTTGACATTTGTGGGTTCTTCTTTTAATAACTTCAGGGTATTGTTGGAGTCTCGTCGTAAATCAAAGAAAATTACAGCAAGAGGAATCTTTGCAGGTGCCAGGGTGGTGCGAGGAGTTGACTGGCAATGGGAAGATCAAGATGGTGGCAATGGGCGTAGAGGAAAGGTAAAGATAAGACTGGTTTAAATAAGAAGATACATTCCTGCATGCTCATGTAATGGCCTCAGTGGCCTTTCTAATTGTAGAGTAAAAATATCACCATAAAGGTTACTATTTTAATTTGCTGGACATTTTTAAATCTTTTTCTGTAATGCTTAAGCATTTAGAAAGAGGATGGCATGTATACTATGACGAGTTATTTTAAATATAAATTTACATTTTTACAATACCAGCACAAAATTTTTAGAACTACTAAATTTTTGTCTTGGTTGTTCTGTTTAAGACTGGCTTGTAACAACAGTAAGATCTTGGGCATATTTCAGCATTACTAGAGAGCTGGTATAAAAACAGAGCTCTCAGAAATAGCCCTTTCTGGTCATCACCGCGTTCTATAGTCTTATTGCTTGTGGGTCAGTACCTTTGTGTATCTCTTGCTTTTGGTTTTCAGTGCTTGCACCCTGGATTTTTGTTTTTCATCTAATAATTATAGAGACTTTTCCAGTTTAAAATTAAAAACTTTGCAAGTGTTGGATGTGGATATTATACTACTGGCATAGGACATTATATGAGTGTTTATTTGTTGTGTAATAAAAATATTTTGATTTATTGAAAATTGCATGGAATAATAACCTTTGCAAATTTTCTGCTTACAACTTACGTTTACCTTAAGAGCTAATGAAGGTTTTTTATAACTATGAACATACAGCAGGGAGTGTAAAATATACTATGACTTTTATCACCAAATATGAGATGTTCTAGAAGGAGAATTGGATGCCCCTATATCTTGTTGAACTGGTGTTTTTTGTTGTATTTATTTTTAGTACACTTAAGCAGCATTTAAAAGAAAGTGAAAAGTTCCTGAATAAGATATTTAGCCTATTTTTTATCCTAGATATTTATGGAAGCTTGAGGACTTTTGGGGATTTAATTTTGGATTTTATTGAGAGGAAATAATGAATGTAAATCTCTTAAAGCAAGGGATATTCAGATGCAGCTTTTTTCATCTTGATTATTTACCCCTTGCTGTGAATTTGGCAAGATGCTTTGAAATCTCTGAAACTTTGCAAAATGAGAGTCTTATCCTGCTTTATGTATTAAACTTGAATTAGTGGGTTTATTTGCAAGCTGAAAATATGTATAAATGCATATAGATGTTTTTAATGAGGAAAAGCAGATGATACATAGCAGAAACAGCTTTTAAATAAATACAAATAAGAATGAAGACAAATTCTGGAAATTGATTTTTTTGAATAATTGAAGTGTTTTCAGAATTTGGTGCATGATCTCATGATTTCAGAAATGTCAGGGAAAGTCCTTTTCACTCTCCTTCTTTTGTACTGTTGTTAAACAGATTGACTCTGGAAATAAAACTTTGTCTCCTAACATAGTGCACTGCCACCAGGCTAATGCAGGTTAAACCAGACAAATTGAAGCAATTAAAATAGTTTTCATCCTGTCTTTCTTAGTTAAATGCTGCTTGTAATAAGAACATGTCAAAGCATCATAAAATAAATTTTTACAGTTCAGATTTTTTTCTCTACTTATGTAGTTAGATTACCTATCAAATATACAAAAGGAAAATAGGCCTACAAAGTATATATTCAGGCTGCCATCTTATTAAGACACCTAGGGAACACTCGTATCAAACAGAAAACAGCTTCAGAATAAATTTTATTAAATTCAGTAAAACTGCTATATCCTGAATTATTCTGAAGAGATGAATAAGGTTTTAAGTTCAAATTGTGCTTCTAAGTCTTTGTTCTAGAAACAATTTTCTTATTTTTAACACTGAATAGGTAACTGAAATCCAAGATTGGAGTGCGTCGAGTCCACATAGTGCAGCATATGTTCTTTGGGACAATGGTGCTAAAAACCTTTACAGAGTTGGCTTTGAGGGCATGGTAAGTATAAAAGAACACAAAGGGTAAAATGCATGGTGGGGGAAGGGTAGTAAGAATAACTTGTTGTGCTTTATTATCCTGCTTTTGTAATACCTTTTGTCAGTTTGCATGCTATTAGTCAGGTCATAGTGAATACAGCTGTATGGATCATGCATATGTATTAGGAAGAAAGTCTGATCTGGGAATTTATAAAACATGTGAATAACTCAAAGTTAAGGGCTGGTTTCTGCCAGAGTATAGTAAATATTTACATTGCGTACATGATTATCTTACTGTGCTACTATTGTGCTTGAATTAAAATTCAGAAAAGAGAAAGAAGCTTAGTCATGAACTTTTTAAAGACCCTATTTCTTTAACTCCTGAGCTCTTCAGTTCACTTCAAATTTTGGTGTGATTACTGCAAAATTTGCAGTTTTTAAATTACTGGCAACAGTCAGAATCCTCTTGAGAGAAATTTTTTTGTCAATGGAAAGGTGTTGAATTAAGTTACAACCTTAATTTGCTTTAGCATTAAATTTTTCTTTTTCACTGCCTAGCTTCTACAGCTACTTCTACAGCTTTAGAGAGAAAATGGGTCAGACTAGCTGAAGTGCCTTCTGTTGCTGGGTTTTCTTATCCTAATGTGGGTCAGGGAAAGGTTACTTTGATTATCAACTGCTTATAACATCTTCATTAGCATTTTCTTTGCATGATTTTTGTTTGATGCTGCAGAGGAAAACCATGTTAACTTAACATTGAAGTGTTGTCAGATGTGTATCAGTAATAAAATGTTAAACAATGACTAGTCTACTTTTTTTGAAAATAAAATATTTGCCTTATAGCCTCAGTTGAAATAAAGTTTATTTTTATAATAAAAATTGAATACTAAATACCACTTTTGCAGTAAATACCTGTTTTAGTGTCAGGCTTAAAAAGACTAAACATTTTTAGTGCGGGTCACGTTTTCTGATGTATGAAGATGCTAAGGGTAAAATATAAGTCAGTATTGAATTATGTCCTTCATGGTCCCCCCCAGTTCTAAAGAAAATTCCTTATATACTGGCAAAAGGGAAAGTAAGTTATATGTAGTATTCTGTAGTATAATATTATTAAACCAATGGTTGGTATCTTCCCCCTTATATTTGATTGTGATGCATGGAGAAGGAGTACAATTGCAAAATCTAGGTAGAATGAGATACAGATCAACTGATTTTTTTTGTTGTTGCAATTTCAGTTACTATGTTAAAACTTGTGCACTGCATAGTAGGAGTGCTGTGGAATCGTCAACGATTCCTTCTGGCCTCAGAAAAAATACATTTAAGATAAATTATATTCTGTTCTTAAATAGTTTATTCCCTTAATAATATATTTATTATTTGTAAATCAACTGTATTCTGTTGCCAAAGTGTTGCCACATAAGGATGTGTTAAACATTTCTAGAATACTTGATTAACTACTGCAACTGTAAATTTGAATGGATAAGGATGACCCTTCCCACAAGATTTGTACAAATAAAAATATTTGGTTAATCATTTAATTAACAACAAAAACCTGTTAAAATGTTTGTGAAACTACATATATGTATATGTTATATATATATAGGATAATAT